ACCGGTCCAGAGATTGTTTAATCTGTTCAAATTCCTGTTAATTTAGATTGGTCTCAACTTAAACCTGGTCCATTGACACCTCTGTTCTAATCTTCTATCAATAAACCAGAAATTGGCTCAATCCAATATAAATTTATTATGGACGGACCAGGTCCAATCCAATATGTCATATTGATCCATCCGGTCTGTCCAAATTCAATATGTCTTATTGGTCCGTCCAGATAGATTTTGATTTGAACAGATTCCAACCTAAAACCGGTCCATTGACACCCCTACTCTAGTGCATGGTACCTGGGTTTGTCTATTAGCTAGTATTTCATTTCCCATTACTAGTACCTGCAATGATTTTTCTTTTCTTTTTATTCACTGACATTTGGAGTGGTTATAAGGTCTCCTCACACTCTGGTGCACCGCATTTCCTTATTATTGTAGATGTTCATACACAATATACTTGGGTTTACCTGTTCAAGAATAAATCTATGGCTGGATCTTATCTAATGGCCTTTTTCACTATGGTCATTTGCTAATTTAATACATCCATTTAACAAATTTGTTCAAACAACGAATATGAGTTTCTTTCTTGACTTGTTCAACAATTTTTCATGAATAAGGAAATTTTACAATAAACCCCCTGAGTTGCTATGCCCCAACAAAACAGGGTAATAGAAAGAAAGAATCACCACATATTAGAAATGGCCTTGGCTTTGTGTTTTTAAGCCTCTCTATCTAATGTTTCTCCTTACCATCTTATAATCATTTGAGGGCATTTGGTTGGCTCTGTTATGTTTAAGCCATCCTACATCCATTGAACAAATTTGATGCCCAAACTGAACCCTGTATATTTATGGGCTAACCACATGGACAAAAAGGCTATTGGGTTTACAATACTTGGACTATTGTACCCCTATCTTCGGGCAAGCATTGGTTCAAAATGTGTGTATAAAATTAAATATAAGGCAAATGGTTCCATTGAGCAATTTAAAGCACGACTCATTACAAAAGGCTATACATAAGTTGAAGGCCTTGACTAGCATGATACATTTGCTCCAGTTGCAAAATTGGCCCCATTTCATTGCCTTCCTTCATAGTGAGACCTCCATGAAGATGTCTACATGACAATTCCCCAAGGCATTGATACTACAAATTCAACTCATGTTTGCAAGCTTCAAAAATCTCTATATGACCTTATGCAAGCCTTCCGCATGTGGTTTGTTATGAGTGTACATTAATGACCAATTTGGAATAAAAGATCTTGGGCCTTGAAGTTACTTGCTCTGCTTCTACATTTTCCTTAGAACAAATATGCTCTAGGCATTGTGCAAGACATAGGACTTCAAGAATGCAAGTCGAGTTTGACTCCCATGAAACAATAAAATCACTTTGTTGATGATTCGAGTCCTCCATGCTTTGATCCAGCACAATATCATTGTCTTGTGGGCTGCTTTTATATCTCACAGCAACTCAGCCAGACCTTTGTTTAGTTGTTAATTTTAAGCCAGTTTATGCATTATCCTTGCCATGAGCATTTGTCAGTGATTCACCTCTTTCTTGGAAAATAAAAAAAAAACACACCCACAGGCCACAGCTAAATACAAGGCCGTGGTTGTTGCCACTTTTTAACTTGTTTGGCCACGTAGAGTATTTGTTGAACTCACGAAGCCTCCAAATTTTCATTGTGATAGCAAAGGTGCTCTCTTAGCATTGCAACAAAAGTGCATAAAACACAGAGAAATTGATTATTACTTTTTTCCTGAGCTGACGCAACATGGAAACTTGGTCACTGCTCTCATGTCAAACATTTCTCAACCAAGTAATCTATTCACCAAGGTTATTCCAACCAATCATTTTCTCAAGCATTTACCCAAGTTGGGCTTGAGAGATACTCCAACCTGAGGGGGGGTGCTGGAAAATCAGAATTAGTTATAACATCTATAGTTGTGAACCTGTGTCCATATATAGCCACGTTTCTTCCAAAATTAATACTTCCAATTCTTTCTCTCTTCGTCTGATATTTGTATTCAGTTAATCCAATTGTTAGTCAAGAGAGAAGGAACCTAGTAGCTTCAGCCTTCAGTCCATTGGAAGAAACCTACGATGAACTGTCAAGTTGAACTTTGATGGCGCAACTTTGTTGTCATCCTCTGTGATCGGCATTGTGATTCGTGATTCAGTGGGAAACTTGTGTATATGCAAAGCAAACCGTATAGACTGTTTTTGCTTGTGACACTGAAGCTAGGGCCCTTCTGGAAGGTTTGAAGTTTACGGCTGATGAAGGTTCCCAAAATATTCTTATTGAGGGAGATGCGCTGGTAATTTTCAAAGGACTCAAAGCTCTATTGGAGGCCTCCATGGCAAATTCTACAAACCTGAACTCTGTACAGAATTACAGATCTCTCCTTTATAGATTCCCTCGTTGCTCAAATTCCTTTGTTCCCAAGTGGTCAATTCGGCTGCACATTTAGTTAAATCCAAATATCATGTATAATTTCTAATATTTACTTATATATGCATAGGAGGTAGTAAGGTACTACTTACCTTGCTTTTGGTGCAGTCTTACAAACTATAAGACTGCATTTGGAAACGATGCAAATGGAGTGTAAATCCCGGTGCAGGGTAAATTTGTACTCTGGTTCACTTTTGTCTGTATTTACAACATTACATTTATGCATTGATAAATAACAGAAAACACATTTTTCAATGCATATTTATATTGATAATAATATGTAAAAGTACATCAATAAAAAAGAAGTAAATTTGCATTCAAGTAAGCTTTTGATGAAAAAAAGGCATATGCTTTATTAAAATTTGTGTTTGCATCCATTATAGCTAAAAGTCTATTTGGTAAGAAGGTAAATTTATCAATGCAAAACTAACCTAACTCTGCAATTTATATGAACCGTTTTACATTCTACATATTTGTATCATTTCCAAACACAGCCTAAAAGTTAAATAAGATTATCATATCATATAAGATTTTTTTTGGGTCATATAAGGTTCATACTTATGTCGTTACGATTTTATCTTTATTTGTGACATGATGTGGGCTCAAGTTGGACCTAAATACAAAGCTTAGGATCAAGCCTAGAATTTATGGGTTGGCTTGAAAATGATAATGCATAGGTTCCACTGATTTCTATAAAAATAATGAAGATAATACTGTTTCAGTGGTGAAAGAAAATAAAACATTTTAAAGCACAAATTTACCATTTAAAACTAGGGATACAAATTGATTGGATCGAATCAGATTCGAAACGGGGTATATCCAAATCTGATACAATAATATAAATAATATAAAACTTATAGCCAATCCAATCCAATGATATGATCAGATCTCACAAAGGTCAATTAAAAGGGAAAAACATAACAATAGAAAAACAAAAATACAAGCATTTTATTCAATTATTTTTATCATATATGTACATGTCTTTTTATAAATAAACAAATAATGTGTATATTACATACATATATGATCGGATAGGAGGTTATCTGATTTTTATTTAAATCCTATTATTCAATCTGATCCAAAAATTCAACAAGAGATATCTGAATCCAACAAAATAGGATCATATTCAAGTTCGAATAAGTTCATGATCCAATCTATATGCACCCCTATTTAAAACAAATCCCTTTCTGTGAAAAAAGGCCATCTTAGTTTTAGATTTATTAAAACAAATTCATTAATTGTGTTTTGTTAAATGAATCCATTTCAAATGACATCAATGTGGGTTAAAGTGGGAAAGAACAATATGATTGAAAACTAAAAACTGTTGTCAGTATTACTGAATACATTCTTGTCACTAGGGTTGACATGAATGTAGGTGTAGCAAGTTGCCTACTTTGACCACCCGATTAGAAAACCTGGATTCAAAGTGAATGGCGGTCTGGCGGTCCTTAGGGTTGACAGTGGAGACATATCGGATATTGCCATTGGTAAGCCGTTCTAAATCTCTGAACGAAGAAGACACCCATAGTGATTGGCTTCCCCGGACCCAGGGAGTATTGAAAGTGAATGTGGATGGGGGTTTTCTTGAATCAGGCAGGGATTTGTACGGTTTCCTGGCTTGAGACAGTGATGGTGCTGTGTGGTGGTTAGAACAATGCATCCTCTGGCTTAAGTTTGCACACAGTGAACTGTTTAATGCAAAATCTTCAGTCACCAGGATATTGTGTTTGTGATTAAGGATATCTTCAAACTTTGTAAAGGTAGACCAGTTAGGTTCTCTTGGGTTTTTAGTGAAGTCAACAGCTCATACACTTGCCACTTCGGTCCTCAGGTTTTATTTTTATTTTCTTTTTTAAGAAATTCCCGATTAGTACCCTGTACTTTGGATCTAGTGCTACTTTGATCCCCAAACTTTAAAACACGACAATTCAATACCTGAATTTAAAAAATGTGCCAATTCAACACTTGTCCATTACGTGACACTTGAAAAGACATAAATGTCCTTTAAGTGTCATCTAATTCTTTTTATCAAATCATCCAAACGTAGATAAAAAATGACCATTGAAATTATTTATTTTGTCTTTTTTTTAGTAAATTAAATGACATTTAAAAGGTATTTGTGTCTTTTTCAAATGCCACTTTACTGGTTAATGGGATGGTTAACATCAGTTACTGGATTGATACTTTTAAAAGTTCTGTTGCATTGCATTTTAAAGTTCGGTCACCAGAGTAGCATTAGGCACAGTTTTAAATCTCTGTTACAGTGGGTGTCTGTTTTTTTTAATCTTTTTACCGAATGGTTCTTTTCTTGAACCTAAGGCTTATACTACCGATAAACACAATCACAATTAAGTTCCCTTTGGATAACTTTTTTGAGCTTCTTTCATTAAACTCTACCCAGATGACATGGCTGCTTAAGAATTTAGGACCCATTTGATTGTTTGTTTGGTTGGGCGGAATTAGAATTCCATTCCCATTCCCTCCCTCTCAGGAATGAAATCCCAATTCCATTTTCGATTCCTGACTGACCAAACAGATTATGAAAATAGACCGATTCTAAAGGATTTTGATTCCGATTCTTATTCCAATGCGAACCAAACAGACCTTCAAAGTTTTGAAGAATTCTTTTACTGCCGACCGGAAGCCTTTATGATCATGATCAGCAATTAGCGTATTGAAGGGAAAGACTGAGACACCTACTAGCTACTACATATTTCACGTTAACACAACACAACACAACACAACACAACATGAAGAAGGTTAAGATGTAAGAAGCAACAGACAGGAATACAACCAACACATTCTCACAAGCAAGCTTCGAAAGCAGCCTTCCCACTGTCAACCTGATCCAGCATTTGGACGACTTCCGCCACACCAGCTGCAATTTCCTTCTGGATACCGCCCTCAGGCAGGTCGAACTTCCTCCTCTTCATGGATCCCAGCTTTCCAATTCCAGCAGCAGGCTGTGGATCAACCACATCAAACATTGCTTCCAGTTCATCTATCATTGACTTCCTAGCCGTTCGAACCATAACATCAACTCCCTAAATGCATTTACAGACAAATTAGGTTAAAACATTCAGCAACCACCAAACCCATTTCGTTTGCAAGTTCTTCATGCCCATGGTTAATGCATGGCTGCCATTCATTTTGTAAATTTCAACAATCATATGAAGCATTATGGGATGAATGCAAGACATAAGGAGGAATCAGAATCCTCAGATTGCTAGAGATTACCTACCTCTATTGCATCAACTGTGAGGATGAGGACAATGATCTTCTCAGAGAACCTCTGGCGTTCCTCGGCATCACGGGTAACGCGACGTCGGTAGGATAAGTTGTTGAAGTAGGCCCTCATCTCCTTCAGCTTGGATTTTGCCACGGCTAGCTCTCGGAGTGCCCGCAGTGCTTGGGATCGACGGATCAGATAAGCTCTGAAGCTCGTCTGGATCACCATCGCCGCGTCTTGGGGAGACAGCTCCTTCTTCTTCCCTTTGCCATTGTTAACGCTTCCAGCTCTCTTTGCAAATGCCTTCTCACAACAGAGAACACAGCCTTCAGCAATCAAATCATGGGCATTGCAATTTCAGTCAAACAAGATAATGCAAGCGAAATCACCACATACCTGTTTGAGAATAACAGCCCCATGATCAACCGGGCCCTCAATCTCCACCACACGTTTGGAAGGCGAAGACTTGACGCCTTTCTTCTTAGGCTTGCTGGAGTTGCTGCTGCCCTCTCCGGCAGCGGCAGGAGATGTTGACGCCTTGAGCGTGTAGGTCTGAGAGATGGGACTGTGTTTTCCCTTACCCTTCATCTCGACCGTCCATTCATAGTTCTTCTCGACGCCTCCCAACTCGCCGTCCTTGGACTTCGCCCCCTTGATCTCCGCAGTCCACTTATACTTCCGATCGAGGCAGTCCTCTTCGGGGTCCTTGATCTTGGCCGTCCATGAGTACTTCCGATCTAGCTTGTTGATCTTCTTCGCATTCAGAAGCCGATCAAATCCCAGCTCGAGAGAAGACACTCGATCACACAGGCTCCGTAAGCAGGAATCCGTGGCTATCCGCTCCTGGTACCTCTTGTAAGAAGACGAAAATGGGGTTTTCTCGATCTGGATCAGATCGGTCACGGTGTCCAAGACATCGAAAGGAGACGATATAGCCGGGGCTGGGAAGTAGCATTGTGGGGAGAGATCAAAGAGGCTGGGTTTAGGGTTTAAGAGATGGAGAGTCAAAGCGAACTCGTCTTCTTCTTCTTCTGCAAATGGGGGAAAGATTAGCGATTTCGGTCGACAAATGGAGGTCTCTCTGATGAGGAGAGACGGTGAAGGCTCGAAAATCTCGATTCTTCGGAAAGCGCTCATGGCTGTTATTTTGATGGATCGAGTGAAAGAAAACCACTCACAGTAAGGAAGCGTAAGAAAAGATTCTAGGGTTTTCCAGGGATTTAATGATAAAAAAGAAGAGGGAACACAGAAAGGTGGCAGGGCATAAAGGAACAAAAGCAAAGTTGCAGAAAAAGAAATGGTGGGTCAAAAGGAAGGAGGTGGCACTTGGCAGAGATGGGTAAAGATGAAATTATAAGACGCTGTCAGAGGTATAATGGTCAATTTAAATAACTTTTGAATGGTGAAAGAAAATGACAAAGGATAGATAAGGATGATGGATCGCCGCATAAGCAGAAGAATCAAGAGAAGAATGGCCCTAGGTTTTCCAATAAAATTACATAAAATGGAACCCACTGCCACTCCACTAAGGCCAGACTCTCCTGAGAGAGGACCGAATCATCCGTAGATTTTAGATAAAAACAGGTGCGCAGCAGGTGTTGAGGTTGCGTGTGATGGTTTTTGTATGAAGAGTGTGAACACGATTGAAAGAACCGAACCACGGGCCCATATTTTTAGACTAAAACCGGATCTCCAAATGGAACAAGTTGACAGGGACCAGCCAATCTGACCCATATGGATCTGGTATAATTGGCCCATTCTAATGCCGTTGAGTAACAAAACAAACAACAATTCCATCATCAATGGGCGGGGCTACGTGTCGTCATGTTGTGTTGTTTTATGAATTCGCATCCGTCCCCCATAGACTTGACCCCAAAAACGTCCCACGGACTCCCAACACGCGAATGCCGCTATCTCGTGCGGAGATAATGGGACGGCCATTAACTCGTCCCGTTAGCTCCCGTTACTCCCAAAATAGGTCATCTCTCAATCCTCTCTCTCGAATCTCAGCCTCACTCGAATCCTCGACATAGAGTGTGCTCTCTGAAATCTGTCGGAGCTTGCCCCCTTTTGAGATCTCTAGGTCGACGCCCATGATTGTTCCAGCAACTTTATTTATCGAAGGTAAATTTTCCTCTATTTTCAGTTAGAGATGGCAAATTTTTCTTTCCCAACCCGAGTGTCGGGAATGGGATTGTTTTAAGTAAATTTATTTTTTTAAAAAAATACTGTTCTCTAAAACCATTTCAAGGATTCTGGTCTCCGTGGGAATCCGGAACAGGGAATATGATCCCGCCCCATTACCATTCATATTCTCAGTTCTTCTGTTCTCATATCTGTTTTTTCTCATTTTTCTAACTTGTTTTTTGTTTTTTGGAATAGAAAAAACGTAGAAGGTGCATGCTGTGGATACAGGTACGGTTTCAAACTCTATTTTTTCTTTTAGTACAGAACCCACTCCCCTGTTCTGTTCTATGTTGGCCGAGCATACAACGTTAGGGTTTTATGTTCATATTGAATTTTTTTCAGCTCGAATTTTAGTTGTTACGTTATATCACAATACATTTTTAATACCTAAAACCTGGAATGCATTATGTGCTATTTGAATTTCATCTAAGGGTTTATTTGCTATTTGAATTGCATCGTCGGTTCACTTACTATTTGGTGTTTTATTTAATCCACCAACAAAGAAGATATTAAATTTGGAATGGAGGGCACACCAAACCCCATGTGAAGGTTGGTGTTTGAACTTGACGGAGATGAGGGTGAATCATCCAAACTTTCATCTAGCATGCGTGAAATGGAGGGTACCAACATGGTCAATGATTTTGATGAAGTAAAACTTTCACTTAAGAGAAGTGAATGAGATGCCTACATGTGAGGAAAGTAGGGGCATTGGTGCAAATATTTCAAATATATTGAAGGAAAAGCTAAGTGTTATTCCTCGAGAGTGTATCCCGGTTGGCATGATATTTGAAACAGTAGAGGAAGCATATGAGTTCTATAATAGATATGCTGGGAAGGTGGGGTTTAGTACTCAAAAAGAAAATAAAGTGGTTGCCAAACAGACTAACCAAATAAGATACTGCAAGTTTTGTTGCTCTAGAGAAGGAAAGATTAGTGCAAATAGACATAGGGTTACTGTAAAGACTCGTCGACCAATTACAAGATGTGGTTGTATGGCAACTATGAAGATAAGTAGTATGAAGGATGGTTATTGTGTCACTGGCTTTGATGGGATGCATAATCATATGGTTGCAACTCCTTCCAAGTCACATATGTTGAGGTCACAACGAAAGGTTAATGAGGTGCAAGGTAATCAAGCTATAATGGCAGATGATGCAGGAATTGCTAGTAGTAATGGAGTTGATGGCCAATGAGGCTGATGGGCCCGCATGAAAATGTTGGGCTTACCTCTATGGATTTGATGAATTACTTGTATACATACCGAACTAGGAATATGGAAAGGGGGGGAGGTAGGTGGTGTTTTGAAATATTTTGAAGATAGGTAGTCACAAGATCCATCATTTGTTTATGCAATACAACTTGACCAAGTTGAATTGGTTACGAATTTATTTTGGGCAAATGCACAAATGATTGTAAGTTATGCTCATTTTGGTGATGTAATATGTTTTGACACAACATATAAACCAATAATTTTTGGTGTTGCATTGTTGTACGATGAAATTGTACATACTTTTGAGTGGTTGCTTAATGTGTTTGTCAAAACCATGAGAGGAAAAAAGCCTAAAACAATTCTAACCGATGATGATGCAGATATGGCAAAAGCAATTGGTTTGGTGCAAGGTTTTTAAAATCGAACCGGACAACAAACCAGTCAGGTCAAATGGTCCGACCATTTGAACCGAACAGATGGCCCGTTTTGACAATAAATAAATAAATGGCCAAACCATTGGACGGTTTGAACAGTTCAACCGCCCCGTGTTAGCGGTTTGCTAACCAAATCAACAATTTTTTGGCGAAATAATGTTCTGGGGTAAAATGGAACCAGTTTCCTGTTATTCTAGTCCGACCGTCCAGTCCGGTTTTGAAAACCATGGTTTGGTGTTATCAGAATTACATCATCAGTTATATGTATGGCATATGTTTCAAAATGTTGCAAAACACCTTAATGGTGTGTTTGAGAAATTTAAACCATTTTCCATAGATTTTAGTAATTGTGTGTATAATTGTGAAGATGTTGATGAATTTGAAAATGCTTGGGTAGCCATGATCAATAGGTATGGACTTCAGAAAAATGAATGGTTGCAAAGATTGTATAGAAAATACACAAATGGGCATTAGCATTTGGACGACAAACATTTTTTGTCGGGATGAGCACAACACAAAAAAGCGAGAGTTTGAATGCTTTCCTTAAGAAATATCTCAATATAAGGTATGATTTGTCAAAGTTTCTTTGACACTTCGAAAGATTAGTTGCTGATAGACAGTACGAGGAGTTGAAAGCTGAATTTGCAACAACACAGCACCCCAATCATGGTAATACATGTTGGAATTTTGGATTTTGCTTCTCGTGTGTATACCCCAAATCATGTAACTTCTTTTTCCCATGAATGGAATTAAATGATCCCAAACAAAACCTAAAGGGACAAAATGACAATCAATTCCGGGTCTCTAATGTTGATCGAGAGTTCTAACTCAGAAAAGACACCCTTTTTTATTGATTCAAAATAAGGAGTCTTTGGTTCATGGGAATAGGGATAGAATTGGAATCGAAATGGTCTAAATGTTTGGTTAGATGGAATTGGAATCTCATTCCCATTTATGGTGAAGTGGCATTCTCCTATTGGAGAGATGGTCATTCCCTCCCCCCTCTCTTGGGAATAGGAATGGCAATGGGTGTGGCGGGGACGGGGAGCCACTCCCTGTCCCCATCCCCATAGCCACAGGGATCCCCACTTCCCATAATTTTTTATAATGTCAATTATTTTGATTTTGTTTTTGTTTTAAAAAATTAAAAATAAAATAATTAAAATTTAAAATCCTACTAAAAATTATTCAAATATATTCAAACATATTCTTAAAAATATTAATACGCATACATACATATATAGACGTAGGCGTATATATATACATATATATTAGAGAGGATCCCCATAGGGTGGGGATCAAGGACCCCACGGGGCTGAGAGTGCTCTCCTCGTCCTCGCCAATGATGATGACAATTTCCCCATCCAAGGTGAGTCCACACAGGAATCAGGGAAATAGGGAAAATTGCCATTCTTACATGGGAATGAATTCTCATTCTAGCTTATTCCAATTTTCATATAAACCAAATAGATTATGGGAATAAACCATTCCAGTTCATTCTGATTTAGATTCCGATTCTGGAAATAAACCAAATGGACACTAAATAATTGAGTGATAGTACTAGAGGAAAGAGATAAGTAGAGTTAGAGCACAAGTTCGGTCAGTTTATACAAATTGATGGTGTTGAGGTTAATCCTAACCCTAGACCAACCCAAGATGCTGATTGTTGAACCCTCAACCTCACCTACAATTAGATGTAGTGAACCATAATCTTAGCTCGACCTAAAAATAAAACTCCTCAACTATAACCCAATCCAATCCACCAAAGATTGCTTTGTTGATCCATACTTAAGGGTGTAAATCTATCAAATTGAAGAACAGGGCTGACGGAAAGTTATATATCTGTATTATACCATTATATATACACGCTGATGAGGTCGAGAATTGGGCCTAGGTTAAATTGTCACGTGGAAGCATGACGAGGTGGCACCTGGCCAAGTTAAGTCGATGACTGCCACGTGTCCAAAGCCTAAGCTAATCGAGGAAAAGTGATGTGATGCACTCGTACGCCCAAGGCTAATGTTGGTGCACATTGCAACTCTCGATGAAGTGGGGACATGTGGCGAACATTCAATGAAGCCTTACCATCCAGGTTAGCACTAATATCCCTAAGATTGAGTTTGGAAGGAGTACAAATGCAAATGTGTAGAGTGCAAAATCTTATATTTTGTATTACTTTGTATGTATTTGTATTGTACATATTTGCATTTATACTTCTTCCAAATGGAGCCTAAGTTTCTCACACATTTCATATGGCACACACCTTTCAAACCTTGGTCGTTAACCACCTTAGAAGCTGACATGTGTCTCGTAACTAGTAGTGAGGAGCACAATGGCACTCTCAAGTATATAAAGACAAAGTGTCTAAAGTGAGACTCTCTTCACACTCTTCAGTTCTCAAGCTTTATAGCTCTCTTACTCGCTCAAACTATCTAACCCGTATGGCTATAACCAATTTGGTCTAGCCAATCACCACTCTCATCACTAAATTAAGCATTGGAGTGCTCCCCCTCAAGGAACCACCTTAGGGCCTCTAACCATTTGTGTGCATAGATCTTTGGATCCAACACAGTTCATCCAATTCATCAAGACATCTACTGCCTGTCTTAGTTCGAACAGCATAAAATAGAGGGGAGGGGAGGTGTCCTCTCATACAGAGCTCACAAATAGCTATTCCATTTCTCTTTTCTTTTCTCCCACATGTGCATATTTAGTCTTAAATTAAATCATTAAAAATATAACAAGTCAAAATTTAAATCTTTATGGATTGTCATTATCTCTCATAAAATCCATATTTATTCTCTAATAAGACCATTTTTAAATCTTTCTCTTTTCTCTCTCTCTATATATGTTTGTAACATCTTCTTTTTCCATTAAATCCTTCTTTACCTCTTAAATCTCTATTAATCCCTTTTTTGCTCTCTAAAATAGAGGTATAATTTAGATGGATTAGGTTAGGTTAAAGGCAACCTTAATATAACCCTAAAGCCTAACTTACACCCAAACTAATTTCAAAACCTAAATTTGCCCACTAATACATTGCGTAAACCAATGTTCTTCAATTCTAATATAGAAATCTAAAAAAAACACTTGTAATAAATACTTAAACCTCCTTTTTTTTAAGGTTTAAGACCAAAAAAAAAGTGATGTGTGATCAAATGATGGTTTTTGTCTAATTTGTCTTGCTAGCAAACAGGAGAGGGTAGAGTCCTTTTTAGCAAAAAGGTCCAAGGAAGGTATTAATATTTGTTAGAAACCTGAGAAGAGGAGAGGATACGATGCTGGGCTATTGTCTATTGACCGTAAAAGTTCAACATGGTAAAGCGCAAAGAACTTTGTCAATGGCTGTAATAAAAATAGGTACATAAGTTTTTATCATGTAGTTAAATTTATATCTTAACAGCAGCTATCTGGTAACCGTTTGATGTGGCCTGTGAAAGAACTTTGACAATGCTGCCTGCCTCTGAAAGGATTACAGTTGTGGGCCCATTAATGGAAGTTAAAAAAATCAAATTATAAGCCCATTTTTGCACCCATCCATTTCCGTACCACAGGCACAACTCATATTGGCATTCGCAGTACTGGAGAGTCAAGAGTGGAGACTTGGGCACCAGGGTTTGGGGGAAGGAGGAGGTTTATAGGTATTTGCCTATAAACGGATGGGTAGCCTCCGATAGTGGTGAGCAAAAAAATTGGACCGACTCAAGAAATAGATCGAAATCCAATTAAAAAAATCGGTTAACCGAATTGATTGGTTTGGTTTTAATTTGGTGTTTTTAAAAAATTGAAGGTATTGGTTCGATTTTAATTAATCAATATAAAAAATTGGTAGTTAATCGAACCAACTGATATACATATATTCTATATATTTTATATACATTTATGTACATTATATATATTTATATTTTTATAAATTATAAATTAATAAATATGTATTATATATATTTATAATATATGATATATTATTTATTAATTAAAATATAATATTATATATATATATATATATTTATAATTTTTTATCATATATTTTTATAATATATAGTATAAAATTTGAAAAACCAACAGTTAACTGAATCAGTCAACCAATTAACCAACTGATTTCGATTATCAGTTTTCTAAAAGCTGATAGTATCGGCTCTGTCGTAAAAAAATCCCACACCAAACTGTGAGCACCCCTAACCCTAGCCATCGATAACAAGCCGGATTCACGTACGCCCTGCTATGCCCCACCTTTGATTCCTTTGAAAAAAATAAATATGTAATGGCAATGTCAACAGTCAGGTAGCTTCCTGTTATAATATAACAAGAGATTGTAATGCATTGTACACAATACAACGTGGGGGAGAAAACAAAATTTTAAGTGGCAAAATGACTTATTTTGTCATCTTCAGTAGGTAAAATAGTCATAAAATAAAATATGTAGAAATAGTAGAATCAGAGTGCAATTATTAAAATAATTCAGACACTTCAACAGATATATTAAAAAAGGATTGGACGGAGGAGGGCCCTCGACCCTCGTTATTCATTGCCTTTGGCCCTAATCGCTTCTGTTATTTGATGCGTCTGTGGCTTAGTAAATAATATCTTTAAAGGGTCATAATAAGTTCGAAATACTGAAATTGGCACCAGTGGTCTAGTGGTAGAATAGTACCCTGCCACGGTACAGACCCGGGTTCGATTCCCGGCTGGTGCATCAACTATTTTTAGGATTCTTTCTTGTTATTTTTCGTTGATGGAATCATGGATTTGTCCTTGTGGATTCATACTGTTTTTCAGATTTAGGGTGGGATGGGGGTACATTTTCACTGTTTGGTTTTATATAAGGGAAAATAATGAGAAAAGCACTGT